ATGTATATAGATTTTATGAAGATTTTAAATATATAAAGCGTGGACAATAGAATTTAATTTTAGTCACCTAGCCTTAGATTCACCAGCGACCCGAAGGTCCTGGCAGCCAGTGCTCCCTTTTTTCGTGTAAATAAAATAATTGTATTATTTTTTTTCACATTTATAAATAAATAAACCTCAGATACGTCCCACTGTCATAGAAAGTATCTGAAATCATTATGGTACAAAAACCTGGAAAAAGTGCACATGAAGCCTCGTCATATCGTTCAATTTCACTGTTGCCTATTTTGTCCAAACTACTTGAAGCTGTAATCAAAAGAAGACTTCAGAACATAATTGAAGAAACGGAAGTTATACCCATTCATAAATTTGGATTTAGGTCTCAACATTCCACAATCGATCAAGCTCATCGAATAACGAGCACAATTGCACAGCTGTTTTCCTTGACGTATCGCAGGCATTCGACAGAGTACGGCACCAAGGCTTACTTCTTCAATTAAGACTTCACTTTTTACAGTATCTAACCGACTCTTACCTGAACAACCGCTACTTCAGTATCAAGCAGGGACAATCATATACTACGTTACCGTCGATAAAAACAGGTGTACCCCAAGGAAGTGTCCTGGGTCCACTCTTATACATTTTGTTTACTAGCGACATGTCTAAGCCGCCAAACGGCGCAATCGCCACATTTGCACATGATATCTGCATCATTTTGACCGGCAAAAATGAAGTTGAGTCATCGCACAGAATGCAATCACTAAATCAAATTGTAGAATGGACACGGAAATGGTGCATTACTTTAAACGAATTGAAGTCCATCCATATAAACTTCACTAAGAAAAGTGCTACGTACATCCCCTAACATATTGAAACCTATAGTTGACTTTTGATCGAAAATGTCTGTCAATGTGTGATATGTATAAATGAATTTAAGGGATAATCTTTCTCTTATAATGGTGTGTCAAAAATAGGTTGAATCGGATTAAGATTTCCCTTAACCCCCACATACTTAATGTAAACATTTTCGAACTTGTACCCCATATATCGACCATTATATGAGTTATCACAATGAAAATAAGAAAGACAATGTATCTTTGTGCCAAAAATAGACACATTTGTTAGGAGACCTCTTTTCAGTTATTAATATTATATAAAATGTTTTTAAAATAATCTAAAGAAAGTTTTACAAAGTTTAGAAAATAAAGGAATAATAAAAAAGATTTCGCTGTTCGTTACGTGTGTATCCAACCGACGCCACTCGACGATTCTCTTCATGTACAGATGCCACCCCTTGGCTATTGCTATTTTGTACACAGGTTGCCAGATTTTTGACAGTCGGCCTTTTCTGACAGGAAATCGACCTCGATTTCGACGCCATCGTAGTTTTCGGGAATTAGTTCGTCATCAAGTTCGGGACTCGTTTGCTTGACTCGTAAGCCGATGAGAAAGTTCGCGATTTTATTGGCATACCCGGCACGTCTTCTATTAAATAATGATTATTATTCAATACCTTCGCGATACGATAGGGTCCACGATATTTCGGTTCTAACTTTCTCGACTCACCGGTTGCGGAAACTTCGTTTTCTATGACCACTAAATCGTTTTCGTGATATATACGAGGAAGGGAATGTCTTTCATCGAATCGTTTTTTAAATTTTTTCTTTCGCGCTCGATATTTTTGGATGCAAGGGTACGTTTTTCAACTATCGGAATATTATTGGTAGATTCGTCTACGTCTTCATATACGGCGGCAACTAACTGATTGTATGCAACATCGCGTAAGCTAAAGTCAAAAATTAGTTCGTTTGGGCTATAACCCGACGTTTTATTTTTCTGCGAGGTAATAGAAAATTGTAAATTTCGTAACATTAAGTCCCATTCTTTTTGATTATCTACAGACGTACGAAAATAACTAAGGATTGTTTGATTTTCGCGTTCGACTTGACCGATCGACTGTGGGGTACGTACAGCCGCTTTAACGTGTTTTATCCCGTTCTCTTCGCAATAGGCCGTAAATGGTTTGGATATGTAAGCGGTACCACGATCAGAAATTAGTTTAGCCGGTAACCCAAAATAGCTAGTTATCTCATTTAAGGTATTTATTACGTGAATCGTCCGCGTGTCGCGCACATATAAGATACTTAGAAAAGGCATCGGAAATAGCCAAAATGTAACAATTTCCTTTCTTACTGCGAATGAATGGACCTAGGTGGTCAACTTGAATTACGCGAAATGGTATCAGATCGTAGTGCATTACACCTTCGACTTTACCGGATTAGCAACAATCAATGCACGGGGCGATGTAATTCTTTAGGTATTTACGCATTTGGGGAACCAAAACTTACTATGAATGCGGATGATAGTCTTCTCTAACGCATGATGACCCATCTTGTCGTGGCATAGTTGAGCAAAACGCCATCGTACAGCTTTTGGAACGACGAATTTAAGGCCATCGTCCTCTAGACGATAAAGGCGGTGATTTTGGATTCGAAAATATTTCTTGATTTCTGTTTCTCGATCAGATTTAACATGACCTCATAGAATGGCGACTACTTCTCGTAACTTCTCGTCTTTAATTTGCATAGTGTAAAGCCAGTCGTTGACGTCGGCTTGTATCGCGAGGATAGAACCTACCGGTTCCACGTTTTTAGCGGGCTGGTCAGGTGCTCTACTCATTTCATCTACGTGTGGTAGCCTGCTACCGGAACGATGTACTGCTTCATAGTCGAATTCAGCCGCAATCGAGCGATTTTTGCCTTGAGCTCTTTGTTATCTCGAACTTTGGCTACGGCTGAACAATCGGTCACAAGTCGAAATTTCTTACCAAGGTATAGGCTTAAACGGTCTAGCATTTCGACAACGGCGAGAGCTTCTAACTCATATGAATGATATCGGCTTTCGGACTCTGTGCAATGACGGCTGTAGTACATAGTTGGCTGCCACACTTACCATCATACGACTGCATTAAGACACCTGCGAGGCCGATACTGCTAGCGTCTGTATGTACCTCACGCTGCTTATTTCGGTCGTAAAGGGCCAACACCGGAGTGGATGTCAGAAAGTCGATAACACGTTGAAATGCTTGTTGCTGTGGCTCATTGCAGCGAAATGAGTTGCGTTCGGATTTTCGTAACATTGTTGTTAAAGGTTCAGTGATTAATGAAAATTCAGGGACAAATTTCCTAAAAAATATCGTGAGTCCTAGGAAAAGTGTTAACTCTGTGATATTCGTCGGCGCTGAAGAATTGGAGATGGCTGATAGCTTACGGTTCCCAGGCATTATACCATTCTCGGTTATCATGTTACCAAGGTATTCGATTTTACTTTCTAAAATTTTCATTTGTCCATTCGCAAAGTCAAACCGTTTTCTCTAAGGAGAGTCAAGATCTTTTCAATACGCTGTAAACCTTCTTCAATCGTACGACTGAGTATAATGACGTCATCTAGATACGCCAAAACCTCACCCATTTTCATTTTAGCCATCAACGTGTTCATAACAGTTTGAAACACGACCGGAGCATTGACCAGCCCAAAAGGCATTCTGTTAAACTCGTAGTGCCCTTCATTGGTGACAAATGCCATGAGTTGTTTCGATTTCTCCTCGAGCTCAATTTGATAGTACCCCATTCTTAAATCTAGCGTTGCAAAATATTTATTACCTGCGAGCTGTGCGAAGTGTTCCTCCATAATTGGCATTGCGTATGACATTTTGGTTGTAATTTTATTTAGACACCTATAGTCTACGCAAAGACGAGGTTTTGTTTTTCAACCAGGACGATTGGTGACGCGTACGGAGATTCGGATGGTCGTATAATTTCGTTTTCGAGTAATTCTTTGATGATATTGGCGACGGTTGGTCTTTTCAAAAAAGGGATACGATATGGCTTCATATTTACGGGTGTTTGCGAGTTCAGTTCAATGTCCCTCTTCTTTAGTTTACAACGATCAAGATCAGAAACTTTCACTGAGAACACATCACGGTACGACGAAAATATTTGCTCGAGTTTAATTAAATAATTTTTATCGACTGTTGTGTCGCCACGTGTGCTTTTTCGATACGATAACCACCGTTCTCAATGACTAGTCGGCTACCGTTTCTACAGTGACTCACACGTCTAACCGGATGCGTGCATTGCCAATGATGACACCCTCCAGTCATATAGTGAACATCTTAAAAATTATACATATGATACATCAAATTAAAGGAAAAATCCTCTATTTTATTTTCGGAAACTTAAAAATAGTAATAAATTCATTCACTGCGTATAATTTAGAGAAATAACTCGCAACATATAAAATTCGTTACACACAACTAACCGGAAAATTATAAGAAGTAACCTTCTAGAAGTCACGGTACTTCTGATCGTTGTGGAATTTCACTAGAACAAACACTGAATATTCTTTTTTGTTTATTAGTGGTTACCGGTAGATCTGTGAGTAAGCAACACGACAATATAATACTTGTACTAAAATTCGGAAGCTAATTATTCAGTTATGGGAAGAAGGAAAAACCATTAAAGATATTTCGGAGATTGTGAAAAGGAGTACTTCAACTATTTTTGATACTATAAAAAAGTTTGAAAAGGACAATAGGATCAATAATATTAGTAAAGCTGGTCAAGGAAAGAAGCTAACACAAGCCGAAGAAAAGTTTATATTGAAAATTGTTGAAAAAATCCCTTTTCCCCGGTGGAAAATGTAAGGATAATATAGGAAAGGGGAAAAGAAAAGAAGGTTTCAGTCGAAACAATTCGCCGCACACTTAGAATCTTCGATTTACATGGTAGAGCAGTTGTGTTGTACAGGCGTACATATTCGAAAAAAATAGAATTTGTGAAATTGCATTTAAAAAGGCCTGATGAGTTCAGGCAAAGGGAAAATGGCATAACTTTGATTTAGTAATCATAAAACAGTATTATTACTGCTTTTTCAAGGTTCTTTTCACACACGATATCAAGTTTAACTTGCTGCTTGTATGGCGGCGTCCCAACGTAGCTTACTTGCCAAAACATACTAGGGCAACACTTAAGCACGGTGGTCACTAATGGTTTGAGGATGTATATCGGCTAAAGGAATGGGCAACCTGCATTTGTCGACATTTTAAAGGAAATTTTAAAGCAGTCATGTGTAACATTGGGAATTAAAGACAATTTTATATTTTACAAAAACAACGATCCGAAGCCCAAATCGGCGATTGCTCATACTTGGTTAATATACAATTGCCCTCATGTACTGGGTACACTTGCCCAATCCTCAGATCTGAACCTTATTGAGCACGTATGATAAGAAGTCAGTCGAAAAGTGTACCAAAGGCAGTTTTCCAATGTTGCTGGGCTCAAAACGGTTATTTTGAAGGCTTGGAAGGCAATACCACCAGAATTTTATCAAAAACTTGTCGCCCCTATACCAAGGCGACTAGAACCATTTTTATCTGTAAAACTATATGCTGCGAAATATAAGTAACCATTAGCTTTTTATAAAATCCGGTTAATTGTGTGGAACAAATTTTGTATGTTGCGAGTTATTTTTCTAAATTTTATGCAGTGAATAAATTTATTACTATTTTTGAGTTTCCAAAAATAAAATAGAAAATTTTTTCTTCAATTTGATGTATCATATGTATTATTCTTAAGTATGTATATGTATTATTCTTAAGGTTTTTACTTTATGATTGAAGTGAGTCACCGWACATAAACAGTCAGTTCCAAGCAAGATATTTTCGTCTAATAAATTAAAATGTCACTTTCAAACTTCTCATTGTCGAATTCGACGATTGCGTTTATTTTTGCATCGCATACGTATTCACCTCCACCAAATCCGTTCAGTGTGCTAGAGCATGTACTGATACTACCGAGTTTAATCGCAAAACCTTCTTTGACGAGAGTACGACTGTTTCCCGCATCTACGAAAGCATTTGTACTTACACCATTAACTTTAATTTGCTTTCAAATACCGTCAGATATTTCGTTTTTCACTGGCTCGATTGCCCTTACAGGGTTTGATTTTTCGGGACACTGTTCGGTTGTATGGTTAGTGTGTTGACATTTCGCACAACGAAGTTTTTTCTGTGACTCCGGGCACTTAGTGGAATAATGCCCCGTTTTTTAACAGTTGTAACACTTTATATTCTCAGTTGATATAGGAATTGTGTTACGCGTACCGAACGTAGGATTTATGGATTGTATTGGCTTTGGTTTAGAATGCGTGTTTATTTCTACGTCGTTATAAATGGAATATTTATTTATATCATGCGATAATAAAATTCTTGAGGAGATTCGTTTTCCCCTCTTCTCATTTGCGACATTTTAATATGGGCATCGGCGACACTGTGTAACGTTGGAAAATCTTCAATAAATCGGTTTGAAAACGCGCACCAGGTCGTGCATACAACAGGCAAGGAATCGACCCACTGCTTGGCTGGTCCTTGCATTTTCTGTTGCACAAAAAAAAGGCGAAAATTGTCATCGATACTGTATGCATTACGTAGCATTTCGACGCGTTGAATAAACTGTGTAGCATTTAATGACATCTTTGAAATTGGGTTAAACGATGGCAATAGATCAATTATTTCGTGTACATGAAACATTAGACGCGGTTGCCAATTTTGCTGGTGGTGGATTGGCGCATACGGTGGATCAGATATTACGGGACAAGTTAGATAAACAGGAACATGCGTGTACCTAGGGGTGTGCTCAGGTATTGAATAAGTTACTTGCTCATACGTTTGCGTGACCGGTATCTACAACGAGGATACCGGTATTTGCGTTTGTGAGGTTGGTACCTGAAACAGAGGTATAGGGAACTGCATTTGCGTTGTTGGTACCTGCAATGGGGGTACTACTAATTGAACGGTGTGCACGTTCGAGGATGTGAGAAGTGTATTTGTATCCAAATGACGAAATACGTTGTGGTACAAAGTCTGAAGATGTTACAGCAACATTTTGCCGCAGTTCTATTACGCGAATTGTCTTTTCTAACTCAGGAACTCGTTCTAACAATACCGAACTAGCACTTTCGTAATGCTTCTCGTTATGTTTATACCTCTCTAGACGATTGATGAGCGTATTTTTGTTGCCACTACAGGCGAGTCCTGCATCTCTACACATTTGTCTTAGATCAACAACGTTTTTATTGCGCAAATTTTCCATTATCACGTTTTGTTTTGCTCCCGATGTTCAACGAGTTGAAGTTTTACGATATCAGCGAGCAAAGTACGCTTGCGCACTGATGTGTTGAAAACAATGCTCGCGACAGACTGCAAACGACATCTGTCATATACTAAAATATACATTTTTTTATGGACGGACCTATTTTGACAGCTGCACGAATACACAACTGCAGGTCGACAGTTGTCGTTCTCGCTAACTTCAATTTAATCCTATATTTACCAACGAGTAGAACGACAGTAGATTTGACAGTAGAATGGAAGATAGAGAGATGAATAGTGTGTAAAATTACTCAAAGCTCTAACAAACCTGACGTTATTTTACAAATAAAAGCATAAAATAGCTCTGTTACATCATTTATAATAACAATTGGTAATTTAAAATAAATAAATTTACCTATTTACTTATTTGTTGCTTAAAAATTTCACTTTGAAGAAAATATTAAAATATCATTGAAGTGCAAGGTATTAGTATGGCCGCAACGAAATTGTATACATGCAAACTGCACAACTGCGTTGTTTTGTGTACATGCCGGCCATTGTTATGTTGCTGCACTGTCACAAGCGTTGATGTTGTAGGATTCACAACGCCATTTTCAGTTCACTGTCGTGCTGCTGCAATCTGTTGCGAGCATTGTGTTCCGCACATGAATAATAACGAGCGTAGCAAAACAAACATACGATTAATTTTCGTTGTATTTGTTTATGTTGTGACTACCACTCACATATGGCAGCACTGTTTCTCAATTACTATATTATTTCATTCTCTTTATATTCTTCCTAGAAATTTACAGTTTCAACTGAATTATAAGCTTTTAGTTTTAAGAAGCGTCACTTTTTGTACAGACGTCAACAAGTGAAGAAGTGTTTTGAATTATCTTAATAAATAATCGTTTAAATATTAAATGTGGTGTTTTATTACGGCCACATAATTGGTGACCCTTACGATTTAACAGCACGTTAAATGGCGCAACAATATTGTACAACAAAATTATGCGTTAAATTAAAATATATATAAATTAGTGACATAAAAAAACAACTGGACGAGTTGGCAAGGCAAGTCGAAAAGCTGGCTCAGAGGTTCGACAAAACATCATTAAACGGAAGCAATCGCAGTAAAAGTATACCAAGCGCAT